GACGATCGAGAGAGTGCGCGCGCGCGAGAGAGAGAGAGAGAGAGAGAGGATGACGACCGAGAGAGCGAGAGAGAGAGAGAGAGAGAGAGAGAGAGAGAGAGAGAGAGAGAGAGAGAGGGAGTGAGAGAGAGACGACGATGACGACGACCGCGCGCGCGCGTGCACGAGAGAGAGAGAGAGAGACGACGACGACGACGACGATCGAGAGAGAGGGAATGACGACGACGACGACGACAACGACAGATAGGCGCGGCCTGGCGGCAGCGAGGCAAGGAAAGGTGCGTGTCGTCGACGGCGTTTGTGAACAACGTCGTTGAATTTTTAATTCCACGGCGTTGAACGTGATTGAACGCGTTTTAACGCGGCTCAACGGCGTCAAACGCAATTTAACGTGGTGGTCGGGGTTCGTTCGACAGTGTGCGTTACGGGGCGACGACATTGGGGAGGGTCTGTGGGGGTCGGTCGACCGTCGGTGGGTGTTCGCGCGGCTCTGTGGTTGGGGCGGGCCGGCGTTGGGGCACTGTGCGACGCTTTTCGTGCGGGTCAGGAAGGCGTTGTAGGAAGGACTCTAAGTCGACGCTTCGGAGCGTGAAAAAGGACAGTCGCCATGGGGAGGGCGCAGCGGCGACAACATGACGCCGCTTCAGAACATGTGCATGAGACATTCAGGGGTCGCTCCCTTGTGTATCGGTACCTTGTCGTCGGCCAGAAGGTCGACAACAAGGGGGTCATGATGCTGCGTTGCACATTCTGCAACAAAGTGTTCTTGGGGACTCAGTACCATGCCACGAGACATTTCAGCTAGACGAATTACTGCAAGGACGTCAACGACAAGGCACTGTACGAGATCGCACGACGGACTCAATATAAGTTCGAGTCTGACCAGATGGAGAGGTTCGCCAGGTATGCCGCGGAGCGTGGACTCGATGCGCCCCGGGCCGATGGTGCAAGGGGAGGAGAGGCGGGGCAGCGTCTGGTGAGGGAGGGGGCGGGGGAGATGGTGGCCAGGGTGCGTCCGACCGCCCATCGAGGGGTGGAGGCGGGGACATGGAGGAGGACGTATCGATCACGAGGCACGTGGCCCGGGCAAGGAGGGACTCCTGGGGTACGAGGACGCGCCAGGGTTCCATCCAACCACCGGGGAGAGGATGGTGGACTGGTTGCGTGCAAGGGGGCGGTGCCTGCACCGACTGGTCCGGAGAGGACGGTCCTTGGAAGAGGAAGGAAGGAGGAGTTGATCTGGCTGCTACCCACGGTGGAAAGAGGCCCTGACAGCAGAAGGTGACTGAGGTCTACGGTGACGAGTGAGTTCCTCGCCACAAGAAAGCCTTTCTGCGCTGGTTTTATTCCAGCGGGGTGGCCTTCAATGCCTTCCGTAACGAGGCATGGAAGGCATATCAACAGCCACAGCGAGATCGCCAGCATGCAGGCGGTGAAGACCCAATGTGCGGAGTTGGCGGGGGAGTTGGAGGAGGTGAGGCAACCATTCTGGTTACGGCCTTTGCTTTTTTCCGACTATTGCCACTATCCTCTCTGACGGGAGGAAATCATGAGACGGGAGACCGATCGTGAATTTCCTTGTCGCAGGCTCGCGAGGGGTGGTCATGTACATGTCGATCAATCGAGAGGGGGAGTCGGACGATGCAGTGCATGTCCTTCGGAGATGGGTCACCATCTACCATGAGTTCAGGTTCGGTGGGCCGCAGCGGGTCAATGCGATTTGCACTGACTTCGCTTCAAGCGTACGTGGGGGCTGCAAGGGCGTTGGCCTCGTCGACCATGCCTCTTGCATTGAGGAGGATCACTTGGTTCCCTTGCTTCGTCCATGTCTGCAACAAATTGTTGTCAGACATGGGGGGCGAGTTGCGACGCATTTGTGGACGCAATCACATGCGCTCGTATGCTGGTGGTGTTTTTCAAAACCCACCAGGCCACCCTTTCTTTTTTTAGGAGGTGCAGCCTCGACAAGGGGCTTATTCTTTCCTATGAGACGCGGTTCGTGTCTGTTTACTCCATGCTGGAGAGGGTGCTGGCTCCGCAGGACACTTTGCACAGCATGATGCGAGGGGACGACTCGCGGGCATTTGCTTCCATCTCGTGGTCTGCCGATGTGTGCCAGATGGCGCGTTGGGTGCGCTGATAGATCAGATGGGATCCTTGGTGGCAGAGGGTTGCCACCATCGTCCACATTATGGAGCCCGTCTTGCAGTTGCTTAGGCGGATGGATCGTGGAGGGCAGTTCATGTTGCTCATGGTCAAGTGGGCACAGGATTTTGTCCACCGTGTGAAGGACGCATGTGCTCCTTTGGCCCAGTCCTTCGCGAACCAGATCGTCAGGCGTGTGCAGGCCCGCACACATTACATGCTTGAGCCAGCTCACTGCGCTGGTTTTTTACTGAACCCAGGCAAAATGTTCGTTACTTTTTTGGCGAGGTGGAGGCTTACCATGCTTGGCTTGTGAGGCAAGCCAAGAGGTACATTTTGACGCAGACGGGTTTCGAGTTGGATAGTGCGGATTACATCGTTGCCTGTCGGCAACTCAAGGACTTCCACATGCAGAAGGGAAGGTTTGGTGATTGGGGCGGGGCGGAGGGGCGTGCTCGTAGGCGCGCGTGTATCGGTGGCGCCGAAACGATCGATTGCGCGTCTTGGTGGTCGCAGTACGGGGCTGGCGCGCCTGAGTTGCAGTGCTGCGCTCTTCGTGTGATGCACATGTGGTCCTGCGCCTCTCCAGCGGAGAAGACTGGGCGGTCCACGAGGGCATTCACATGAAGAAGCGCAACCAGTTGGCCTTCGAGAAGGTCGTGCAAATCGTTGAGATCACCCCAAATGTGCGATTAACGGAGTATCGGCGGGCGGGATGCGGTTATGTGTTGCCATGGCAGCGGGACGAGGGCATGCTCGATTGCGAGGCAGACATTGAGCTGGAGCCGGTGCGCACGGGCATGCGCAAGGGGCTGACGCAGGAGGAGATTGCCTAGCAGGTTGCGCTTATTACGCGCGATCCCATTAGTGCTTCCGCACCGCCCCCTGCCACTGCTGTTTTTTAGCGACGTGCTTGCATTTTCCGTCCGTACCCCAGGGACGATGAATCTGATGGCGAGCGGATACCCGAGGCAGCGCATACTCGAGGCAACGGATGACCCTGCGTTCCCCATTCCTCGGGAGATCGACGAGAAGCACGAGGATGCCAAGGACGCGGAGACGAGGACATACATCACACGACGGGGGGGGGACTTTGATGAGATGATGGGGGGAGACGAGGATTGTTGGGGCCCTTTCGGGGAGGTGGCTTCCACAGATGATGTGCGTGATGAGAGAGTGGGGGGATCTCATGCACGCAGTAGCCGCGCAGAGGCGGGGATCACGACTCCTACCACGACGAGGCCTCAGTCGTCCATTCCCCCACCTCCTGCTCCGAGTTCGGCACCTACTCCTGCTCCGAGTTCGGCACCACCTCCTGCTTCGAGTCCTTCGCCACCTCCTGCTCAGAGTCCGGTGCCATCTCCCCCTTCGAGTTCTCCGCCAGCTCCTGTTCCATGTCCTCTGCCACATACTACTACGAGTCCTGCACCACCTCTTGCTCCGAGTCCTGCGCCACTTCCAACTCCGGGTCCTGTATCACCATCGCCCGTTTCGCCACTTCAGACGCCCGCTACAGAGGTGGAGACGCAGAAGTTGGCATCCTCCTTGCCTCAACACGGTCTTCTGCACAGATCTACGGCGATTCGCCGGCTGAGGTTACGATCACCTTCCCCGGGGGTTTTGCAGGAGGAGGTTGGACATCGTGCCACTTCGACGGACATGGGGGGGCCAGCCGTACCGGAGGTGGAGGTGACAGCAGCGCCAGCGGTGGAGGCGGAGGTAGCCATAGCGGAGGAGGTACGAGCAGTGGCAACGAGGGAAGAGGAGGTGCGAGCTGGAGTTGCTATGGTGGGATAGGAGCTGGATGGTGTAGACACCGAGGAGCGCCTCGTGCAACAGTTAATCACCGAGGAGGTCGATCCAGTGGTGGGCGGTTTTATCCCGGGTGTGGCAAGGGGGGTGGGGATCCCTCCTCTCACAGGGTGTGCGGGTTCAGAGATGGGGACCCACTTCGACTTTGACCTATCGATGGGCGCTCCCCCTAGTTGCGACGGGGCGACATCGACTGGTCGAGCGCCTTCAATGGACGAGGCGGCAGGCGAGACGCGCTTGCAGACCTCGAGAGAGAGGACAGCGGCGGAGTCTCTAGATGCGGCACGCAACATCATGGAGAGAGAGAGGGCTCGACTTGTGGCATCCAGCGACCCGCGTGCTCAAGCGTTCGCATGGGCCTTGGAGGAGCGCAGGTGTCGAGAGACAGGGAGAGATGGTCAGCAGGGTGGGGTGGTGGCGGGGGCGGTCCAGACGGACGTTACAGAGGCGGTGGCAGCAGAGGCGGTAGATGCGGTTGTGGAGGGTGGGCCACAGACAGTGGCTGAGGTTGTGGTTGGCGGACCATAGATGGTGGACGAGGCTGTGCAGGCTGGACAGGGGCAAGACGGGGGGACGGGCGACTCACGGGCCGTAGTTCATGACACAGCGTCGGGTCAGGTTGTCCTGTTCTCGGGCCTGCAGTTGGCCGAGGCCCGACAGTCGCAGCCGACTGAGGTGGTAGTGCATGATGTGCCACCTGTTGTTTTCACGGACTTGAAGTCCGAGCCGTTGGTTGTGCGTCCACGTCCTAGACGCCCGGCTCCGCAGGAGGTTCATTGTCCATTGGATGCAGAGGAGTTGGCGGCGGGCGCTGTGCTCGATGTTACTCGATTGGACTGGCAGATATTTGACCAGAAACTCACCCATCCACAGTGGCAGACGATCCCTTTCGTTCCATGGGCCCCTGCGTCGCCAGTGTGGTTCGGGTCCACCTCCATCGGAGGACGCAGCAGGGTAAATGTTCTTAGGGCTGATGGGGGCATGCAGGAGAGAGCATCAGGTGCGGAAGACATGCCACCACCTCCTCCTAGACCACGTGTGGGTGATCCGTCGTTGTCGCCGACAGGCCCGGGCTCTCGATCCCCTCACACGCCGGGGCGATCGAGGATTCGTGACGCGACAGCGGTTCAGCAGGATGTGTGCGACACGACGTGTTTGGGAGGACGAACATAGATTTGGATTCCACCCGCCATGTCACTGAGCTCACGGCATGCCTTTAGCCGGGTTTGGGAACCCGGGGCGCCAGGGGGACCTAAGTGAGGGAGGTTTTAGCTTCAGGTTGTAAGCCGCTGCGAGGTTGCGATGGAGGAGTGTCTACAGAGACCTTGGACGATGCTTTGAAAGCAGCGACGCGTGTTGTGCATGACCAGACTCCAGACAAGCGTGGAGTGCCTCGTCCACGCCTCATGCCTGCACATGGAGGCGCTGCACTTGGAGAGTCTTCGGGGGCGGAGGGGTTGGGGATGCCTCGTGGATTCCGCCGTCAGCAGGCGGTCGCACAAGCTAGTGCGAGGGTTGTTGTGTTGAGGACAGGAGGCGACCCTGTCACCATCGAGGAGGATGATCCTGAGATGACACCAGTAGCGCGGGAGGATGATGAGGACTATGAGGGTGAGGAGGGTGGTGAGGAGGAGAGTGAGAGCGGTGATGGCGATGCCGCCGACGACGACGAGGATGAGTCCCCACCCCCCCCATCGACGCGTGCTTCGAGACGTGTTGCGCATACGTCTTCATCCACACGAGGGAAGAGGAGACGGGCATCCGGCAGTCGAGGGGGCACGAGCAGACGAGAAATAGGAAGGATGGAGGGCTAAGGCATGAGTATCGGCGCCTAGGGGCCTTTCGTTCCATGGGCCCCTGAAAACGGGAGGCAAGATAAATAGGAAGAATGGAGGGCTAAGGCATGAGTGTCAGCGCCTAGGGGCCTAAAAAATGCCCTGGGCCGCCGAAACTGTTGGGCCAAGAATAGATTAATGGAAAAGCTTAGCGGCAAAGGGCCGCGAGAGAATAGTAAAGGCGGTCCCCTTTTCTCAAAAGTAAGAGGACCGCTGAGAAAAACAATGTCCTGGGCTGAGCGCCGCAGGATGAAAGGGGTCAACGACGCCAAGAAAATAAGTGTCGGGACGTCGGCATATGAGAACATAGTATGTGGCCAAAAACGGCACTGGAATTCAGCATGAGAAGGGCCAAAGGACCATGAACCACGCAAAGGGGCACGGCGAACTACAAGGGAATGTCAGAACATAAGGAGGGCCTTGACGGCCACAAGATGCTAGAAAAAGAAGGGACCCTGGCATGGGGGCCGCTCACAGTGACTAAGGGGAACCGCGAGATTAGAGGTCCGTGGCCAAGAAGGCCGGCACGCATTGGACATGGGAAGACAAGAAAATAAGGCCACCATGGGGTGGGGAACACCGAGAGAAACCGAGATACCATGGGGAGCGGTGTCGGGGACTGCATTGGACTAATTAAAACTAATGGTATTTTGGGATAAGTGTCGGCGGGACCACCAGCGGGGCAAGTGTTGCGGACCAACAGGAGACAAGTGTCGGCGGGACCACCGGCGGGACAAGTATTAGGGACTAGCGTGGGACAAGTAACGGGGACTTGTGATGTCTCAGAGGAAAGTTCTGGAGAGCTATGGGAAAAAAATATTCAAAGCAAGGTGCATCTAAGAATCCCCTGAGGTCGCCGCGGGCACGACCGCGGACCGTGGTCTCAACCGCGAGGCCGTGGTCATGAAAAAAAAAAAAAAAAAAAAAAAATTCAAAAACATCCGAAACAAATATATGTTATGCCAAAAAATTAAACTGAACAACTTTGTCTTGGGGTCATATCAAAATTCGTTACCAAATTTGAGATAAAAATCAAACAAAATCCTTTATTTTTTTTACTAAAAGAATAAAGTGAAGAACTTTTGCCTGAGGGATTTCTGTTTTTTATTTTTTATTTTTTAAAAAAGTTGAAAAATAAAATTAAAAATATACGGTTGTAGAGCGCACAAAAACCTACCATCCCATTTTTATTTTTGTTTTTGTCTACTATCCTATAATCTAAAAATGTCGGGTTTTCCGATCGCACTTGGCCACAAGCGCCGCCCGCTGCGGTCGGGATGCCGACCGCGTGCGGTCAAATGGCCCGCGGTCAGGACCGCGGGTGATACATAGAGGTGCGTCGTCAAGATCAAGATCTGAAAGGCCAAGAATATTAACACGACTAGTGCAAGCAATAGTGGAAGCAAACGGGAGGATCAAAAGAGAAAAAAAAACAAAGAAATTTGAGGGAAGAGGCATGGCAGCAATCTGAAATATCTTGGATCAGCCACCTTGAAGAAAATGGAGCCTAGAGAGGCTCCATGTGAAAAGTAGGCCTTAGGGAGAAAATAGGAGTAGGAGGGGCCACAGTTTGGAGGAAAAAGAGGCAAAATGAGGTTTTCATTGGCATTGGGGAGCCACAGTTGCAGTCCGAGAAATGACAGACTGCACCTTGGGCATAGGAAGGGCCAAAACCAAGAGGAAGAGCCTAGAAAAGGCCTCAACAGCTAGTTGACACTTGACATGCTAGAAAAAGAAAGGAAAAAAAAAGAAAAAGGGAGAGAAAAATGTGGGAGAATAAGACAAGAGGAGTGAGAGCGAGTGAGTGAGTTGGTCGTTAGTAGGGACCGACACAAGTTGAGACTGACAGGTCCCTATTGTTCAGATTTGGAGTAAAAAAAAAATAAAAAAAAAAAAAAAATAAAAAATAGTACTAACGGTAAAAAATGACTACTTGGGGAGATACATCCGTGACCAGGTATATCCTGGGATATGTCGGTTGCAAAGTATCCTGATTTTCTTTAGATGTTGTGGAGAAAATCAAAGAAAATCAAGGCCTAACGCAACCAGGATACAAGGGATTGCAAGAAGAGAGGAAAACACATGTTTCGGGTACATTCGGAACCAACATTGAGCCTGGATGCACTTGAAAATTGATCGTTTTTTTTTGTTTAAGTTTGGGGCAAATTGTGGGGCAATAGGACTAGGAAAATGCTCATTATGGCAGTCCGAGAAATAACGGACTGCACAGGGGTGCCTAGGCCAAGAGAAAATGGACCTTGGCATGCCCAAGACACTAGAAAAGAGTGTCTCGGGCTTGGGGCAAATGGAGACTGTAAATGGTAGCTGCAAGATGATGGATCTGGCGGTCGAAAATAATCACGACACTTAAAAACACATGAGAGGGAGAGATTGGGACTGTCGAGATTAGGGAATCCTGCAAAAAAAAATGGAACTAGTATGGGATGAGTGGCGGGGACTTGAGTGTCTCAAGGAGAACCGTAGGCGCACATGAAGGATAGAAGTACAAAGCAAGTGACACCGTCAAGATCAAGATCTTGACGATGAGAAATATTTACCACATTTGATGCAAGAACCAAATGGACCAAGAGAGGAAATGTTAGGGGGCAAATAGAAGAGAAAAAGGGTGATGCGAGGACTGTCCAGCAGTCCGAGATATCTCGGACTAGCAAGGCATGAGAAAATAGAGCACCAAGGGGCTCAATGCAGAAAATAGGCTGCCAAGAGAAAATCGGAGCAAAGGGGGATCAAAATTGAGACTAACGGAGGAAAAATGGAGAGTGTGGGGGCTTCATTATTGCAGTTCGAGATGTAACCGTCAACTGCTGGGTCTGAATATGGCCATGGATGAAGATTCATGACTTATTCAGATACCCAAGGGATAACAGTAAGGGGAAGGGATCACACGCGTCAGACGAGATTATACCTAAAGTTCCCTGCCTCCAGAACCTCGCCTGGGCTCCGGCAGAGCTCCCGCAATCGGTGGGTGGACCTCCCACAAGGTCTTGATGCGGACCTACGGGTTGCAATCCCGCCTGCCGCCTTCCTCTCGTAGCCTCAGACTAGACTGAGAGTAAGAAGGATAGAAGTAGAAAGTTCAGACTCTCGAGATTCAAGAGAGGTGCGCTCAGACTCACGGGAGAGGGCCTTGGAATCTGGATGCGCTTGAGAGTCCCGCAATGATGGTCAAAAAGGAATGCAGTGAAGTCGGTTGAACCACGGTAGAAACGCAAGTAGCAGTCTCCTGACTGTCTCTCGAGTAGCAGCAGTACCCCCCCCCTGCTGAGTCTGATCGCTCCCCTTTACTGCGACCCGTTGCCTCAGACCACAATGCAAGGACGCAACCTAGGAAGGACGTGTTCCAATACTGCACGCCCTCTGTGCTCTATTCGAGTCACGTGCAAACCGCCACTCTACACCGTTGAACACAACCCCCACCTTCCGTAAACACAGCGTATATGCAAGAGGCAAAGCGAGTGCTCAGCGAATGCGCTATGAATGCTCAGTGTCCATGCACAGCAAATCTCACCGACGCAGCCCCCCCGCCACACCGCATGGTAACGCAGTGATGTACCATGCAGTACAGCAAGATGCCGAAAACAGCAGTGTAACCCCAACTCAACAGCTCCACCTGCGGCAAGAACAACGTTACTCTGTTGAAGTACAAGTACCTGCCTATCCTGCAGTTTTGTGCTATACTAGGTACGTGCTTCCACCCTCAGGCTTCTTCACAGCGGACCGTGGTCTATTCGAGACGCAGCAACATGCAGCGAGACTCAGTAAGACATCAGTAAGCACAACACTGCATGCAGTAGCACCGCGCTGGAGTAGTATACGACGCAAGACACAGTGAGGGACAGTGTTGCGCTCAGCAAGTGCGTGGCAAAAGTGCATAATATAAAAAGAACAGAACAGAATGCGGGGTACATAGCAAGACGGCGCCGCGAGACAGTGTGTGGCGGTGCACGGCGAACCATAGCACCGTACCTCAGCAAGCCCCTTTGAAACACCGCAAGATACAGCAGGCCCAACGACGTACAACGCACCCAACGACTGCGTGTCGTGGCAGCCCCCGTGTTGTTGCAGTGGCCCCTTGTAGAAGCCTCCAATCACTCTCCTCACTCACAGGGTTCTCCCTTAGGCCCAATTGTTGCTGTACACAGTGAGGAACAACATTCTGCTCCGCAGCAGCGCCTCAAATTAGTGCCCAGTATAGCAACAGTGCCCAGCCCATGCGTGGTGGCAGCTTGGTTCAGTGGCAGCCAACACCTTAGGTGTATGGTAAACACTTAACAGATTCACAGCAAGAGGCACAACACGAACGGTACCCTACACAGCAATCCGCTTACGGCGAGGGCCAGCATCTCGAGGAGGTACCGCAAAGGCGCACAACCAAGCGGCGATGCAGCGGCTTCACAAGGGCTCAACCACACACAGTCTATGTGTTGTGGCAAAGGTTGTGACAACAACCATGAGCGCAATGTCTGTGACAGACCCAGCAAGCAGGGTTCGTCGGAGCGCAGCAGACACAGCTAACCCTGCAATGCACAGTAGGCTGCCACCGTGGACCAGGAGCAGCAGTGGCTGAGTAGCCTGCCGCTGGGAAAAAAACAGCAGCAGCTCACTCTTCGCGATGGCCACAGCAGTTCGCAACTGTAGCTCGAATTCTAAACCACCAGCAACCCTTTTTGAAGTGTCTGATCACACCTTTAAGCTACCTCACCTCAGCTCCTGGCCAACCTGTAACCACGCAGTCTAGAAAACCCCGTATTTGAATAGAGCACGCCCCTCGTGACGTGTTCGAAATGCAGGCCAGATGCGGAAAAACTCAGCAAAAACCCGGTGTGGCAAGCAACTGCGGGCAGCAATAAGCGCAATAGCAATGCAGTGCGCAATGTTCTGCAAAACAGCAAGACTCAAAACCATGTAGAATGACACACGGTGGGCATAGCGCCCTGTCAGCAACACTCATCTTTATGATAGCAATAACAGTTCGCTGCCGTCAGAATAGCAACAAGCTCTCAAGGAAGC